GTTTTTTAAAAATAATACAGCATTTTACCTTCTGTATCTTTATTCTTTATTGTATCTACTTTCTCATAGGTTATATTTTTTTTTCTTTTTTTTTCTTTTTTTAATACAACACAGAACACAGAATTTCACAATGTGTATTATATAGTACTTGTATATTCTAAAAATTGTTTTGGTATATTTCAAATATTATTTTAGATAGGCAGGAGAAATTCCATATGGAATCATTTTCTGAAGTTCAAAAATATTTAAACAAGTTTGGAATGTTTATGTTGTGTGCACAATAAAAACACTTAGAATGTGTGAAAATCTAAAATTTCCTATTGAGGAATTTTGTTTCTTTTCAGTGAAGTCAACTTATTCTTAGAGATTGAACATGTGTCTGAAGAGAATGTTTCTGTTCGTTTTTTGCATCATCAAAGTGGCGTTTCTGTTCCCTATCAGCCTTCTCTTCTACAAATCCAGCACGCATTTGATATGAGCCACAGACACTTTTCTGGAAAAAAAATGAGGCAAAGTAGATTTTGATAAGAGATTTTGATTAATTCTTAATCCATGTAGTATACTACTCATTGGATTTCTGTTTCAATCATGACATTTAAATAACCTGTGACACTGCTGAAACGGGGTTGCTGAATATCGCTCTGCTCACTCCTCTCCCTCTGCCAGTTTGTAGATTGCCTGTACATCTATAGATCTTTATTCTTAAGTGCAAACCGACTAGGTGCATTTCTGTTGACATGGAAATGTCTGGAACCATTGTTTTCTTTTCAGAAAAATATCTCAAATGTTTTTGCAGATTGATGAGAGTTTTCACAGAAGATGGTTTTCAGGGATTTATTGCAGGGGCTCACAAAACAATGGATAGTACTAAAAATTAACTGATTGTTTAGAGGGGTATTGTACATTTTGCATATTTTGTTGTATATTTCGTTAAACATTTATTAAAATCCTGTTAATTTTCAAGGCAAAGGTGTAAGCTGTCTGCCTAGAGAAGGTTTAAGCATTTGCATGTTAGTCTTGACCTTCCTTGTCCTTCCTATCCAGGAATTTCAGCAGCAATTGACTACCTAGTATAATCCTGCATTTCAATCACATAATCCCCTTTTCCTTTATTTATTTATTTGTTTGTTTGTTTGTTTGTTTTTCCTTTTTTGCTTTTACTTTTTACATTCTGTATCTCTTAATTCATTGACTGTAATTCTTCCAGGTCTCATGCCATGGGGCATTCAATGGCTTTTGACACAAAGCAAAAGTGTTGAGAGATTTTTCACTGGTAAATTCTTCCTCTGGGGTTTGATGTCTCACTTTCCCTATGTGAGACACACAAGTAGCCTCAGTCAGAAAGTGGATTTGTCTTGCCAGGGCATTTCAGCAGAACTGGTGAATAATACAGCAGAATTTTGCAAGGATGCAATAGCAAAACCACTGCTTTACCTCACCAGCCTGCAGGCACATTTTTTGTTGTGATCACAGCAGGTTTTGAGTGATCTATGTACAAAGGAAAAAGAGAATGAACAGAAAGCAGTTTATGGCTTTCCTCAAAGACACTTTTCTAACTCAAAAATATAAGCCTTGTGGTTTATATGGTTTTGAAATGTAACCACAGATATTGAGAACTGGAAAAGATCTGATTTACCATCTCCTTCAATTTTGGTACCAGATTCAGGGCAGAGGAAATTTATTTTTGTAATGAAAAATATTAAAAGGAAATATGTTAGTATCTTTAAAATAAATAAATAAAATGCAGGAACATATTTGGAGAAACTATCATATGAAAAAAATCTGTGTCATTTGTGCCTTGATGGAGTATGTGTAGATGTGTCTCTGCAGCCTCCACCAAAGTGTTGTAATCTTGTTTTGGTGAAGCTCTACTAGATGTTTAATGGTTCCAACTCCCTTTCTTTGGAGCAGCAAAAGATCAATGTCAGACTAAGGGCTTCGTCTTCAAGCTTGATCTCAGAACTGAATGGGGTTAACTTTTCTTCAAAAAGAAAGATTCTTGATGTTTTTGATATGTAGAAGGTATTTTTCTGGCCTCCAGGACCTATCCTTGCTTTTGCAAACACTGTTCTGTTATCATGTTAATATGCCTATCAATCTTTATCTTAGTAATTGCTGTTTCTTGCTCCTACAGCTGTGGCTGGAGGTTGGTCCAATGATTTTCTTGTTCTTGTCCCCTGATTTGAGCCCAGATGCATTTGTGGTTCAGTTATGACCATTTGGTTTTCAGATACTTTGCTTTGTTCTTTCTTCCCTTCTATTTCTTCCTCACTCCCTTTTGCGTTGAGCAATTGTCTGCTTTCCCCATTTGCTCTGGAAAGCTTATGAAACTCCTCATAAGGCCCTTGTCCTTCATCCTTGGATATCCTGGCATTAGTTTCCTGCTGTTTCTTCAGTCCTTTCTCAGATGTGAGTGAGCAGGATTTTGCCTGGTATTCCGATGGGAGCTTAACAGTACTGTTACTGCCAAAGACAGTTCTCACTCTTTCTGGGTGCCTGGAGAGCTAAGGGAGGAGTCCAGTCCCCAGAGAGATCCTGCTGGAGCATGAAAAGAGGAATTTTTCTTCATTTCTTTCAGCAGACAAAATGATGCAGACCTTCCCATCTACATCTTCTTTCCTAGCTTGAGGTTGCAAGGTACAACAGCTCAATGTCCAGTGTGAACTATAGCGCCTTTCCCCTCTGGTGAGGCTGGCAAAAGAAGAGTGGTGCTTTGTGCTCTCATTTGTTTGGCTCTAGCAGTGTCTGCTTGCCGGTTGTTTGTTACATAGAGCCTCTGACCATGTTTCATCCCCAGGTACTTCCAAGGTTTTGCCTGGTAAGGGAAGAGCCCAAACCATTTGGACATCAGCATGCTGCAGTACTGGTTCGGTACTTTCTCTCCTTGTTTAATCCCCACTCTGGAGAATCACCTGGGAGATGCCTCCCCATTATCCACAAGGAAGCACAGGAGCAAGCACTTCATGTGTGGCCGAGCAGCCGGAGGAGCGTCTGTGGGCGCGAGGGGCTCTGCTCCCCAGCCCTGGCTGCCCCAGCACCGCAGGGAAGTCACCCTGCTGGGGGTACTTCTACTCTCAGGGCACGGGAGGGATGGGCAACGCTGTTTCCCATTCACCTGTGCCTGCACAGTAGCTTGCTGGCAAGATACTGCAGTGTTTAAAGGTGACTGGAGGGATGGTTTTCATGCGAGTGTGTATTGAAATAAGGGCGCGGTTGGATTTCAGCAACAGGGAGGTAAGGTAGGAAAAAATCACGTAAGAGCAGGGCTTGTTTTGTTGATTGAGGTTTAGAAAGCATTTTAACCAGTTGAATTATTGGCTGTATCTGAAGTGAAACACTGCTTTCCTAACTGCTCTCATTTCCTGTATCATTCCAGCTTGTTCGCTGCATTAATTGGAGTTCAGATTTACAGTGTATTTGGTTACACACTGGGCTGCATTCTTTTTTTTTTCCCTGTGTGTATAAATTTCTTCGGGAGTTGGGCCAAGTGGAGAGCATATATATGCACACACACACACACGGGCTGAATTTCACTGTTAGTTGCTAATTTTGTGGGGAAAAGGGATCTGGATTTTTTTCTGTTTTCTTGTAAAAAGAGACTTCCCTTTTTCCAAAGAAGAGGCAGTAGCTGAGAACAGCCAGTGTTCAGAGAGTTCAAGATTTCAGAGCAGCAAGAGATGAGAGAAAATAGTATCTTATGAATTGTAAATGTGGCATTTTCAATTTGGTTGGTGTTTCCCAGAGGTTAGTGGATAATAGAAATGTTATCATTCTCCTGGCTCAACCAATAATCAGCTTGCTACTTAAAATATTTTTTAAATACTGTGCTTCAGAGTTGAGTTGGATGAGGGAGAGCTTTTCACAGTTGAAGTAGCTTTTTGTGACCTGAAATATGAAGTGAGACGGGATACTAAACGAGAAACCTAGCATTTTGAAACAAGTTATTTAGGAACTGTAGAAGGCAGAAGGTGATTTAAAGGATGTTTCCTTTTCAGTTGAACATTTTTCTTTTGGCTTTGTGAAAACATAAGAAGAGGTGCACTGTATGTGTGAGGAGTGTTGTTTGAGAACTTGTAGATTTTCAGATTCAGTCTTCATGTTTAAACTGTTGATACCAGTAGAAGATTTCCATTCAGAATATTGTGAGTCAAAGTTTTTAAGTAAATGATCATGAATTAAATAGAACCAGGTATTAAAAATGTTACTGCTTTTAAAATTAAAATTTCGTATTTATTTTAAAATAAAAATTTCGTATACCTAGGTAAAAAGAAAAAGAGAATAATTCCAAACAACCTTCTTCTGAAACATTTGACCACCCTTTATTTTTTATGCTTGACACTAATCCCAGCAACGTTTCACCTTTCCTCCTTCCTCAAGCACCACCTCAGCTGCACGCTGTCAAAGCACAGCCTGCTCCCAGGCTGACATGGGCGAGTTCAGCTCCTGCTCGCCAGGGCTGGACAAGCAGAGGTTAGCTCCCCAAAAAGTCACCCACTGCCTCTACCATCCACAGGGTGCAATGAGATTTGCATGTTAGAGGCATTTCATTAAAAGTTTGTGCGTACTGACAATTCCTTTACAGGCTGCGAAAGACGCTTACTCTTCTGGGACTGTTTTGTTTTAATATTAAGAAGAGAGAGCTGACGAGGACACCCCTGTGGCTGTATTCGATGCATAGCAGCAGCATGATTTAGTTGTAAATGCACTGATACAGCTTTTCAGTATTTGAGCCAGTGTGGGTGTTTAGTTAAAGCCATGCATGGATGGTGTCTGTTATTTTGTTAGGATCTCAGAGTGAGGGGTTTTAGCACTTTAATCCTGACTGACAGTTGGAAGGTTGGTAGTTTCAAACACAGTGGCACAGAGTAGCTGATTTCTCTTCAGTCAAACAATGCACCAGTGTGTCTAGGCTGCCTGTACAGAGCCAATAAATCTGTTTTGTTTTGTTTTTCTCCCCCTTTTCTCTCTCTCCTTCTCTCTCTTTCTTCCCCCTCCTCCAGGCCAGGACCCACTCCTACTGCTGAAAACAATCCAGCTTCTCTGGACAAAGAAAGAGATGAAGAAGGTAAGGCTGTGTAGCTGAGCCTCCCCTCCTCGCTGCGGTTAATAACTGCATGCAGAGCATGTCCAGACACAGAATGCTTAGGTCAGACCAGCAATTCTTCATGATTGCTTTCAGTTCCAGCACACAGGGAAAGAGCCTGTGCATTTGCAGCAAGAAGTGAAAAGGTAGCTCTGTGTGATGTGAAGCAGTGAAGGGATTCCTATAAAAGAGCTGAAGTTTACACGGCTGAGTTACAGGCGAAAAAAAAATCAAAGTTGCTTTTGTTTACATTAGAACATGTTTTTATCCATTAAAGTGAGTGTCTTGGGGAAGAAGGAAGAATATTTCTAGTAGCTGAAAAAATAAGGGTTGAAATCAATAGAAAAAGTGCATAAAAGTGCATTTTGCCAAGTGGAATGATATCAAAACCTTTGTGCTCAAGATTTTTTTTTACCCTTTTTTTGGTTTGGTTTGGTTTTGCCTTTTAGAGTGGTGAATACAATTTATATTGCCTCTCTAAAATTAGTGATATATTTTTGTACAGCACCCTATGGGCTCTACATGGAGATTTCTCAGAGGGAGTAAAATAGACTTCATCTAAATTTGGGTGCTTGCAAACTAACAAAAACACTAGATGTATCCGCTTGGTGGTGAGTTTCCCATGTTTAACTCTGTGCTGTTCAGGCATGTTCATAGAAGAAATGTTCGTTTCTAAAAGACCCCAGAGCCAGCAGCTCACCGTGTAGCTGTGGAATGTGCCCTATGTGAAACGGCTGCCATGGCTATGTTGATGTACGTGCTCCATCCTAGGTATCTGAAGTGTTTAGTCATTGTCCTTGTCTGGTGCACTGAGACTTTCCATTACTGATTACAGTCTGTGGTTCCCAGCCTGAATAATTAAACAACTGGAAACCCAGTGTGAGAGGTGCCTTTCCAAAGTCCGTCACTGACATCAACTTGAGCTCAGCAACTTGGAAGCTTTGAGCTTTCTATCAAGTTTTGTTAGAGGAAAAAAATAGTATTAGTTAGGTCTTGAGGGAAGTTAATCCCGCAGAACAACAGTAGGAAATAATCATCAAAATCTCTATGCTGTATACCCTGGGATGTGTGGATTGTGAAGAAAAATATTCTGAAAAAGACAAAGCATCCCATCGATGTGTCCTTGGGCAGAGAGCACCGCAGCTTTTCTGCTGAGGGTGGAAAAGCTTGAGGATCCCCATGAGTCATGCTGGCAGCTCCGCTCATTGAGTTTGCTTGCGTCTGGACTGATCACCCCAGTAAGATGCATGGTTTTGCAGAGCATGCATGCTGAGGCTTCACAGCAGGGCAGGCCCTGTCCTCTTAGTGCCCGTCCTTCAGCCTGTGCTGCCTGCCTGCAGGCGTGGGCAGCACCACAGCTCTGAGCCCAGGGGATGTGTTTCTGAAGCAGGAGGAAAGTAATTCTGGAGAGATAAGGAAGCAGCACAGTGAGATCAGGCGGTGGCACAGCAGCAGCTGGTTCTAAGGTGGGGAGCCCAGGACGAATGTCCCCAGTAGTTTCTGACATGTACCTGTCACACTAGCACTAAGACGCCCTGATCTTCAGGTGTGCACCCACAGCAATGCATTTTTTTCAGGAGTACCTGCTGCACTGCCCTCTGTGTGTAACGCAGTGCCTTGTGCTGCTCTTGTCCTAAGCACATCACTATCTGACATTCCAGTTAAAATAAATGAGGGAAGTTGACTTAAATAGAGCATCGCCTGCTTCATTGACATTTAAATGGCAGAGAGCTGCTTTGCCTTTTGCTGTGTGGGAGTGTAAGTCAATACTGTCTATTAACTCGCGTGAATCAGTCATCTCCATTAGATGATGCCTGTCAGTCTCAAATCAGTGCACATCATCAGAAAGAGGGTACCTGTCCCTGATGTGACCTCAGTCCTGGAACATGATTATAGGAAGTAATCGTTTTCTACATAAGAATGATAGTTTTGCAATAATAGATGTATCAGCACACTGCCCTGAGCTGTGAAATAAGGGATCAAAACAGAATGAAGGAGTGTGTAGTTTGAACATCAGCAAAATTTTCCTATTCCCATGATCTGTCAGGCTGTAGAAATCCCCCAAGGAACATTCCCTGCCATGGGAATCAATTGAAATGGAAATGGCAATTACATGTTTAAGAGGAATCCTTTTCTGGCAGAGACAGGAGCCAGGCAGCACAGCACTCTTTCCTATCTGATTTAGGTGTCTCGTGTTTTTATTTTTTTCATTGGTTGGTTATTTCCCCTCAAACAACACATACCATAATCGAAGTCTTCAGATTGCTAGGAAGTTTTGGAGAAGGCTTTGCCCCTGTTTAAAAGTGGAGCAGATAGGAATTCAGGACTAAGCCTAGATGTGTTGTCAATACTCTTGCCAGTTGTGTAAGTGTTTGGAGATGCTCTGCGTGTGAAAGCAGACTTGGGCTTTTGCAGGACGTGGTGTCTGCTGGCAACCATCCTGCCAAAGCCCAGGCTCTGGTTCCAGCTGAAGGAGGAGCTGAGTGGTGTGGTGAAAGCTCTTGTTCAGTCTAAATGTGCTGAAGTGGGGCTTTGGGGAAAAAAAGAAAAAAAGAGAGGCCATTTATAAACAGTGCAATTCAGTTGGCCAGTTGCTTTGTTTTCCTTTGGCTGCTGTGTTGGATATTTGTGGTTGGATAAGATCTTGCCTTCTCCTTCTGCAGAATCTTGCAGTAAAGTTGGAGCCCTATGTTTAACATTGCAAATTCTTACCACAGTGAAACGTACTTACAGGGAGAAAACTGTTATCTAAAGTCACATCTTCGTTAGTCATCAGCTTTTTCTTACTGCATTTGATAATCTAGTGAGAAGGAAACCATTTCTGTCATAACTGATAGGTTTTGTGGTTTTTCCCAACATGAAAGACATTATGGAAAATAACTGTCTTCCAGTAAATATTGTTGATGAATAAAAAAAGAACAAATTCATTGGCAAATTTTCTGTAGATTTTCTTTTGTTTTTTTCATGCCATTCTTCAAACTTTATGTTGTTTCCATTGGAAGCCATGACTGAAGCCATCATATACAGTAAATTACAAGTGCTGGCTGCAGGCAGGAATGAGCATCTTTTGGATTTTGCTTTTTAGCCAGAAAAGAAAGAGAGCAGCTGCTCTTAGTGATTTCTTGTTTTCTGTCTCTGCTTTTGCCTTGCTCCACGCCAGTACATGTACCATGCAGTGAAAGGTCCTGTGTGGGTACTGAAGGATGCCACTTCTTCACCCTGCCAACCCTCCGAGCACCTTGGAAACTACTTCTAATGTAAACATTATAAAGATATTGCTCAGTACTGCTAATTTATCACTTCTACCAGATGGGTAGTAAGTAGCCTATTAACATTCACAAAGTGAGTGTACAATTCCTGCACATTTCTAAACACATCACCCTGGGATTCCTAAGATTTATGGCGTGGTGCTTTCCCAAGTTCCAAGCCCCTTCCTATAGCCTTTAGTTCTGCTGAGGTGTGCAGTGCCTGCCCTGTGGAGGCAGCAGGCAGCCTACAGCAAATACCTTGCTCAGATTGGTTTGGAGCAAAGAATGGATTTACTTTTATAGTATTGCAATATGACAGATTGTGAACTTGGCTCTTCCTTTCTTTTTATTCCTGTATGTAAAATCTAAAGTATTTCAATACTCCCAAATATTGAGCCATTGTGGCTGAAGTGAATATAAGGTCAAATATGAAAATTTGTGGTACAGGAGGAGGGGCTTATCTGAGTTATTACTTGCATGTCTCTTAGAAGATGAGTAGGTTTTTGAGCCCAGTTATCTACCTTCAGTATCACAATTTTCTTAATAACACCCTTTTTCCAGCTCACTTCTTTTCTGCCCCTCCCCCAAATCCCAAGCCCCTTTGTCTGTTCCACGGAACAACTTCTCTGTCTTTATGGGATAATTAGTGTGGACAATTGCTGCTTTTCCCATTGGGTTTGAGGTGCAGTGAGCCATGAAGGAATCTGTAATGACATGAAAAGTCACTGGAGGCGTGGATGGTGGCTGAATAGCAACAGTTACCTCTCTGAATAGATTAAATTAAAAAAAATAAAGCTTTGTGTACAGCCGGGGGAAGGGAGGATTCACTAATCTTTTTGTACATGACAATGTGGTTTTGTATCTCAGCAGCTCAAGGAAGAAATCAGGCGGGGCTTTGCAGGACTGGAAGACCCATTGGCAGGACTCCTGGACATACTGGAGAGCAGCACCGATTGGAAGGGGAAAGGGCATTCCCTTGGGTATTACATCACCAGTGAGTTGCAGCTTTGGATGAAAGAGCATCCTGCTGTTCAACAGGTTAGAAAATGAGAGCAAGAGAGCCTGGGGAAAGGAGAGGGCAATTGATTTTGATGTCCCTCAAGTGTTCCCAATTTCACTTCATTCTGTAGTCTAGTGTCTTCTCTGCAGCCTCACAGAAAGGCAGTGTGACAAGGTGTGAAATTCTTACTGAGATGTTGCGATCTAGTGATGCTGGCCTGAAAATGAAATAACATTAGAAACTATGATGTGAGACCTCTGTTTCCCCTTCCAAGCTGGGATTTCCATCTTTCCAGATCAAACCACTTTGATCAAGCATCGGTCTTACAGCCTTTGCTGGACTGGAGGCTTTCCCACTGGAACTCACATCGCTGCTGTCAGGATAAACCCAAATGCAGTAATCTGCTCTGCATATTCTTCCAGTTCTGCAAATAGAAGCCAGTTACCGTATGATTGCTTAACTCTTACCATCTGGTGGGGAGCTTTTATCATTGGGAATGCAGAAAATGGTAACAGTACGACTTTTCAGCGGCTGAATGATTAGCTTTGTAATTTTGGGTCATCAGATTTTACATCCTAATGTTTGCCATTCCTTATGCCTTCGTGTATTCTGACCTCCCAGGATTTCCCTTTTTTATATGGTTTTACCTCGGAACTGCTTATACTTTTGCTTTTACAATTTTACTTTACATACTTTTATATGTGTTGTTTCATTTCCCATTCTTCCAAGTGGTTCTTTTAAGACTTTGAGCTGTATTTAGATTCTCAAAGAGCATTACCATTACAGTATCTGCAAAGTGCAGTGAAGTGTGACTGGCACTGAAATTCCTGTGTCATAAGAAAATGGTCATATAAGAACACAAGGATTAATACTTATGTCTGTGCATCTTGCTACAATGCTTTTGCTTTTCCTGTTGTTCCTGCACCCAGGAGCAAGCCTGGGAATGAAAGCTGAATTCTTAGCCTTGATAGGTGAGATGGCCCTTGAGGGGAGTTGCTGGATTCAAAGAATTTCTTCTGGGAACTAGAGGGGAGAATTTCTAAATAGCTGTGTTAGTAAAAGAGGGCATTTTTCCAGTTTCGTATTTTACTTTTGCACAAGGCCATATGCCTTTTCCAGAATTATCCTGCAAACATTTAATGTTTTTAAATTGGATGCTGTGAAAAAAATGTGTATCATATTGTTCTGATTTCTGCTTGCAGACTCCATGGGGAAATTGGAGAATCCCTTCCCAAGAAATTGGCTTCTTCCACTGTTTAAACAAGCTGCATTTTCAACTGCCATTGAATTGTAGCCATCTTTACTAAATCTGTGTTTGATTTCTTTTTTTCTTTTTTTTTTTTTTTTTAAATAGTCTGGCATGAAGCTGAAGAAGCTGCAGACCCGCGTACTCAGAATACTAGCCCAGTGCCCAGCTAATCTTCTTGACCCTCTGATTAGCATTTACCAGCTCCATACAGCAGACCGGAACTATTTGCTTGGACATGTCAGTCATCTTTATCACAGGGGCGATTACAAAGAGGTGGGTCATGTCTTTCAAATAAATTTACCTTCCCGGCTCTCCAGTTCTCTGTTAAGGTCTGTGTCCTTTTTTGGATGCATTTCAATGTGAATTCCATTTCATCACAGCAGCTGCACACTGTGAATGGTACAGCTTAGCATGGTCTTCTTATGTACAAGAGTAGACTGTGTTCAACCTAATTTTTTCAAATGGCTGAATACAGAATACTAGCGAGTCCTTCCTCTAACCCTTTTTTGACCTTTGAAAGTAATAGGTTAATAGGGTTTAATTTGGAGAATCTAAGAGGATAGATGTATTCGGTTTTTTTCTTCCTTGTCATTGGCAAGAAAAGAAGGGATTTTTGTAGTTGGTCATAGACCTGCTGTGCTATCTCCAGTCTGCCTGCAGTGAGAAGGGGTTAGAAAATTTCTACTCACACATATAAGCAAAAGGTTCTCAGCTTGAGGTATCTTATGTGTATGTGTTATTACTCATGTATTTGAGTTTGAGCGACTGACACTGGCAGAAGTTCCCTAAAACCAGGATTTGGTATATTCACCCTGTAGTTTAAGCTTCTTATAGCATCTCTGGCATCACCATTTGCTGATATCCTTGAGAGTGTTTTCAGGAACAAAATACAATACTGTTAATTTAAAAAAAAAATAAAAAAAAAGAAGTGTATTCGTTTTCTCAAAGGGAATTAGTTTGCTTTGACAGTGTAAAGCAGCTTGACCTTGCTTAGCAAAAGAAAAACATCAAATAGCATTTTTATAAGTCCTATTCTTCACTAAAGCTCAATTACAAAGTAAGGTCGTAGAATTCCATTAATTCTGATTTTTTGAAAATAGAAAATAAGCTATTTAATGTGTGATTAGAAGTTCATAGGTAGCTACGTGAAGTATACTTTCTTGCTCAGTAAGTCGTGTTTGAAAATCCTAACAGAAGTATATTATTTGACTATATATAAGTGTGATTTTTAAATCCATGTCTTCAAATATATTTATTATTGTCTTTTAGAAATGCAGTTCTTTCTAGATCTGGTTTTGGAAAGCTCCAAATTTTTGGTGGAATTTGTTTTTCAGTTCTTTCTTCCACAGAAAAGTTCATTTGCTAGTCATTCCAAGTGTGAAGAACAGGAAAGCTCAATTTGTGATTACCCTCAGCCATGACTTTCTTCTAGCGTTGTTTGTTGCCAGAAGGATGAATAGAATTATCTTCAAGAATAACAAGAAATCTTTTATTCCCCTTGGGGACTGATCATACCTAAATTCACAGCAACTAACCCCCCCCCCAAAAAAAAAAAAAAAAAATGGAGCAAAAATGGAACTAGGGCTCTGAACATTTACAATGGACTGTGGCCTGTCTTTTCTTCCTGTTCTTCCCCACCTTTCAGTTGGGACAGTAAGGCAGGTTCAAGTGCAAGTTTCTTCGCTCGTGCTCATCTAAGAGGACAGAAGTCCTTATAATTCCTTGCTCTTATTATTTGTTTTTTGACCCACATTCCCCATTTATTATAAGGCACCAAACTTATTCTAGATTATTCATTATTCCATTTAACTCTTTTGATGCATTTTATTCTATTATGTTTGAGTCCTAGAAGTCCACCGCTTTGATCCATGTGTTGAGATTCCTTTCCCTCACAAAAGTTTTGGAGAAAGATCACTTCAGAAAACAAGATCCCAGAGTTCCCTGTGGACAGGCATGGCAGTTACGTGTTTCTGAAGCTCATCTGGGCCTGCCTGTACTAACTCCATGTTAATAGCAGAACTGGGCAGAAGCTGAACCAGGTTGTTAATCACACCAGCCTAAAGTTCTGCAGTTGAGATAAGCTGCTGCTTCTTGCTCATGAGCTGGAGTGCAGCCTCCCATAGTGGTAGACCTTCCATGTGTCAGCGTGCAAGTGTTGTGGGGGTGTCAGTTCATAATGAGAAGAAAGATTATAATATGTGTGGTACATTTGTTGGAAGATGGTGCAGGTGGAGGTAATCTTTTAGTCAAATATAGTAGCATAAAAGAGTAGCTGTTTTTAGGAGGCACCTTATTGAGATGTGGGATTGAGTTAGCTGGCCAGCGGATGGCAGTATTTCTCCCATGACATAGAACAAACTGATGAAGTTACAATTAGAATAAAAACCAGGAACATAAAAGTGGGGTTTCTTTGGAGGTGTCTGGCAAGTTTGGTGTTTTCATCCATTCTTTTGTGAATGGGGTTTGCAGCTGCTGGAGTAATATGGTGTGGGGCCTTACATGACACTCCAGAGCAGTGAAGAGCACTTCTGAGTCCTTTCCTCATGGCTCACAGAACATGAAAACTCGTATTTTAGAGGGGCAGACAGAGGGGTTGTAATGTCCATGTCTGGGCAGCTCCATTGGAAATACAGGCAGTTCCATCTGAAATACCTGTGTCTTCATCTCCTCTTAGGGTGGGTTGGGAAGCCCTGAGGCTGCAGGCTGAGGCCAGCCATGAGGCACCGTGCATTGGGCAGGACCCGGGGCGGCCGGCAGCACCACAGCCTTTCATCGGTGGCTCCTCAGGCATGCGGCCCCAAGTGACGGTGGATGGCTTTGTGGGAAGGGCGATGGCTGCTGGTGGGGCCTGGACAATGTGGGGATTCAGCAGACCGGGGGTAATGCAGTGCGAGCGAGTCTGTAAGAGGCCCTGAATAGGCCAGGCTGTGCTTGAGAAGAATGAGGGGTAGGCAGAAGGCAAGCTAGTGTTTCATGGTCATCTTATGTTACACTTCAGCCTTTCAAAGAGTGTCTGGGGCTGGTTGAATGAACCTCTCTTGCACTGCGAATGCGGGAGGCTAAAGACAAAGGAGACTCTTGTCACTCGCAGGCCTCTTTCGGGAATAAAAGCCATTGTCACATGAACAGGGGCAGTCTGGCAGGCTGTGCATGCTTCAGTGCCCCATGATATCGCTAAGTCTCGGCAGAAATCACATTCAGGGCCCTGTCAGCTTTGATTAGCGGGGTCTCATGACTTAATGTGCTGCGATATTTCATGTCTAAGGGTGGCGGCTGTCTTTCTGTGGAATGAATGCCCTCTATTGTCCACTGAGTTATTTTATTTACATTTTTTTAAACAGCTTATAAAGGTAAAAAGATAGCTGTGCTTAAAAAAAATCAAATTCCTTTGCTTCTGGATCAGTAGTAAGTGCTGCTCAGGTCAGATACAGTGAAACTTGTTTTCACAGTCAGCATCAAAGTTCTTGTCTTGTTTAACAGCTTTATAGTAAATTCTGAACAGGTGGCAGTGGAGCTGGGTTTAGGAAGGAAACAATAAATAATCTTTTTAGCCTCTGACAACCAGAAATATTCCTGAGAGAGCTCCCACTCCAACTTCTCTCTGCCAGTGACTACCAGTGTGTCTTTCCCCCTTCATCTGTTTGTTTCATAAACAAGAACACAGGTCTAGCTTATTAGTGCAACAGGGAGTATTTACTTTTTAACAAGTTGTTGTTGCTCATCCTGACTTCTCTGTTTTCAAAAGCTGAGTGTATTTTTCTACTAATGTTTAATTTGTTAATTTATAAAAATAGGGAAGGTTGATTCTTCATATTAAGTTCAGTAAATATTTGCTGTTTCAATTTGAATAGTGTGGGTTATCTTATTTAAAAAAAATCAGTTGTTAAAATTTGTCATAAAATAAGTTGGAGTATCCACAGGAAAAACTCCATGGACACAGCAACACATACTAATACAGAAATAGTTTGATAATTCGGTGATAAGAGCAGCTGATCAAAGAACTAATCTTAAAGGAATACAAATATGTTAAGGTCAGGAAATGTGTAGCTCAATCAGCAACATGACCTTAATTTTTTTCTGTAGCGATGTTTTGAACACTGTTTCAGGGGTGCTACTGCTTATAGTTCTACTTCATAGTGGTGCTTGAGTGCACATCATGTATTTTTGCAAATCTGTCAATGCACATCAGTGTTAAAATTGACTGATCACCATACTGGATGTTCAGATTTTAGATTTCTTCACTGTGAACTTTTTGAGCTATTCTCAGGACAGTGAAAAGTCTCTGATTTTGCTTCATTCTCCAATTCCACACTTAAATTGCAAAGGTTTGTTCATTTCATATGGTATTTGCATATGGAAACCAAGAAAAATGTTACAAGGGATGTTTCAGTCATGGTGTCAGTCTCAGCCTCTTTTCTTATCAACTTAATCTACTGCTTTAGTTGCACATTGTTTGCAAGATGCATTGCCACTTGAACAGAGGTAGCCAACCTGCAGGCCATAGTCAACTCCATAACCTGTTCCCAAGCACCACAGCTTCTGGAGCCACTTTCTGCTGCTGGCATCTGTCTGCTGAAGTAGTTGGGAAAGAGCTTGAATGTTGCTGGGAAATAATAATTCAGATGGTAGTACTGTGCAATTAATACTGGGCTCTTGTCAAGCAAGGAGAGAGCTGTCTGAGAAGAGGTGTCAATGTGCATCAGACCTACCCATACAGAGAGTCTGGATCTGGAGAATCGGGTGAAGCTGGGTGGCCTGAGCACACAGGAAACTTGGGCAGTGCTGTAGAGGATCTTTAAGTTGTGAGGGTGCACTGAGAAGTTAAACCAGGTTTAAAACTGCTTTGAGTGACCTGAGGAAGACAAATCACTGCAGTGTTTGTTTTAGTTCCCTCTTCCCTTCACCTGTATGCACACGTATTCCAGTCTTGATTTCTACTTCTCTCTTTCTTCCTAAAATTCTTTACATATGATTAACGCATCACCACTTACTTTTGACTGTCTCACCCCTTATAAAATACGGTCAGGCTCTCTTGAAAGTAGACCTGGTAAATCTCATGTTTTTCTTGTTTCTGAAGATCTTCCCAAAGACAGCTGTGTATATTGTGTGCTTTTTAAGCAGGAAGTAATTAAACATATAACCTGATGTCATACACTATGCAGTGATGCATTGTGAGCGTTTGAGCAAAGTTGATTAGCCACAAGTTTGAAAGGAGTGATTCCAAAAACACAAAACAGATGTTCCCAATGATTAATAAGTGATGTGCCTTTTAC